AACATTCATTTTGCCATTAATTGTAATAATCCAGTGAGATTTTAGAGCTCCACACAGAGATCTGATCCTCATCAGTCTGTCTGGAGTCACATGAAGAAACAGAACAAACTGAGACAGACTGTGTCTCAAAGACGCTTCAAGAAACCTCCTGCAAAGCTACAGTACTGTTAAAAGTTTGAGGCACTTGTGTAAAAATGGTGTAAAATGAGGATGCTATTGTTATGTCAACAATAGTGTCATAAATAGATTTTCTTTATCAATTAACTTCTATTAACTAGATTAAAACAACATCTGGTATGAGCATCCTCTGTGTTTAAAGCAGCTTTTTGCCCTACACTAGTTTTTCATGTAGCTTTGCAGGTAGGTTTTTGAAGCCTCTTGGAGACGTTGCCACAGACAGACTGGATGATGATCAGATCAGAACTATAGCCTAATTCACAGTATTCTTCAAACAGTAAGCAAAAAATACCCAGATGACCTACTACTTCCACCGAGATTCTGCAGTGTGCATCCAGTGGACATTTATCTTATTGGCTAAAGGAGACAATCTGTGAATCAAAGTGAAACGAAGCCGGTAGGTCGCAACAATGACGACATGACCAATGCAATACATCCAGATTACATTCATACTATATGTGATGTGATCTAGGAAAACCCGTCGGATGTCGCGCTGGGACGTTTTCAGGAAATTAAAAAAATAGGTTGAATGTCAATTTGTCGTCAAAATTGTTTTTTCACTAAATTATTATTCTATAACATCTCGTCTATCATCTCTGAAAATATGTTGCCAAAATTAACCGTTTAGTGCAGAAAAATAGTGATTTATTGTGGCTAGCATTAAAGACGGTCTTTCTCTAGTTCGCTAATATGCACTGTGGAGGAGCTTTCCCTTGACACTACAAAGACAGTTCACCTATCAAATTAAACTATGTAATAAAGGTGTATCAATGCATTTTCCGCTAGTCTTGTGTGAACTACGGCATGCAAAGTTCAGGTTAACGCTGAAGCAGTACAGCGCTCTTAAAGGGACCAGCACCATTCCATATTAACACTATGCATTACTTTCATTTAGTTCAAACGGTGACAGCGTGAAATAAAACTACAAGTTTAGAACACAAAACTACAAGTTACCGTTCTGAACGGTGTCTGGTTATGTATTATAAATCCAGAGTAGTAGAACAGGAGAAGAACTGAGATAACCTGCATGCTGTTAATCTGTGATGTTTTATTATACACTTAATGTATTAATTAACATGTACCGTGACTAAAAGAAGTCTTGTACCACAGTAAAGTGACATATTTTGGCATATTTGGCGTTTCAGTGCGAGAGCGCCCTCTGGCCTTCGGAAGGAGATTTACTGCTGATCACAGAACCGTGCTTCACTGAAAGATACGCATGACTTAAAGCAATAAGCCTCAAGAAGCCGTGGTTTACAGTGAATTTATAACAGCTAAGGGGCAAAGCGGAGTGCCTACAACCCCTTAGCTGTTATAAATTCACTGTAAACCACGGCTTCACGGGGATTATTGCTTTTATAAAACGGTTATTACATATACGTAGTAAGGTTTCACAAAATAAAACGGCGCAAATAAAGTGTAATATTAATAAACACAGTATTCTTCCACCAAA